TAGCCTCTTCCCAGATCACTTTCCAGGCGCCATACCCATTAATCTCTCAGAATGACACTATCTACCCGCAAGGGCCTTTCGCGAAGCGCTAGAAGCACCGCAGCAGGTGAGGCAGACGCCTTGCATGCCCTCGTGGAGTTCGAGCCAATGTTGTGACGTAATCCCAGATCTTACTCTACGCTGTGAGCTGAATGATGTCTACCGCAGCGCATCTCTCTGTGACTGTACATGGAGACTGAGCCTTGAAGGCAATTGTTAAATTGAAATGAAGTCTGGGGCCGGGGAGATGGCTCAGTGGAATAAGTGCTTCCCTAGCAAGTGCAAGGGTCTGAGTTCAATCCCTGGTTCTGAAAAAAAAAAAAAAAAAAAAAAAAAACTTTGAAAAAAAAAATTGAAATGAAGTCATGAGAGTAAGGCCCTATTTGACAGGTGCCCTCAGAAGAGGAACAAGCCAGACATGGGCACACTCCTATTACCTCAGTACTGGAAGCTGAGGCAGGAAGATCCCAAGTTCCACCTCAGCACCACAACTTAGTGAGATCCTGTTTCAAAATAAAAAGGGCTGTGATACAGTGCCCTTGGCTCAATCCCTCAAGAGTGCTATTGAAAAAAAAAAAAAAAAAAGAGTGCTATTGAGTACTGTTCTCTAATTCCAATTTCTTAGAGCATAATGGCACATAGTCTGTTCATCTTTGGTCTTCCTGCCTATGAGAAAAGCTTGAGGATTTGGAAGAGAACAAATAGTGGGTTTTCTTCCTTTAGTTGAGACAAAGTACACACCAGGAACTAAACAACTGTTTAGGAACAAGGCTCATAAAGTGCTGCAACCACCTGTTTTGTAATTTTGCCTTACTCTGGAATATTCATATACATAGGATTCATGAGCTACTCACAGAAAAATAAGAAACTGACAATTATCTTGGGCCAAAACTAGGTGCAATTATAAACATGCTATGGGCTTTTCATCCTTATTTTTCCTAGAAAATGATAACCTATTTATCTGAAAAAAAAAAACAAAAAACAAAAAAAAAAAAAACATGTTTCCAGGAGCCAGCAAGATAGCTCAGCAGACTAAAGTGCTTGCTTAGGCAAGCTTAGGCAGGCACAGGGACCGCTGTTCAATCACCGGCACCACATGCTGCACCAACCGCAACCCCAGTGCAGGCTGAGCTGGCCATGGAGTCCGGGCGTGGTGGTGCACACCTGTAATCCCAGTGCTGGGGAAGCTGAAAATAGGAGAATTACTATGAGTTCTAACTGCGTAGTGAGACCCTGGACCAAATGCATTAAAAAAAAAAAAAAAAAAAAAAAAAAAGAAAGAAAGAAAGAAAGAAAAAAACCTGCCTACCAACACTATCTTTCTTTGGAAACGGTGATAGGTTGGTACTGAAGCAATCAAAGCCCTCGCCTCTATTCACTAAGGGTCCGGGCACAGGCCAGATGAGTTCAGCCAAACAGTAACCACACTTGAAGCTCTTTTGTGCCACGTGCTAAGCCAGGAACAGAAGAAAAGGAGAAGAGAGAGACAGAGGAGGAAGAGGAGGCAAGGGAGAAGAGGAAGAGAAAAGCTGAGAGGGGAGCGAAGAAGCAGCTCAGTGGCTTCCAGTAATTCCTCAAATGGATTTCTTAGCTGTAGCAAGGACACCACAGCGTTAAAAACTTGCAAACTGCCCATTGGGGGTCTTTAGGCTACACTGCATTCTTTTGTCAGCCTCGGAGAAAAAAAGGCTGCTCCTGCACGTCAGTGCTCTGGCCTTCCCCAAGGAAGCTGCTGCTTTACTTTCTGCTCAGCCCCAGGAAGAGTGACTCATGTTTTACAAACTCTAGTTTTCTTTTAATTTTATTTTTATCTCTCTTTCAGAACAGGTTGCTTAGCACCTCCGAAGGAAGTTTTTCTTCTTAGTAATAAAGTTTTCATAGCCTTAGAAAATGTCTTAAGGGGCTGGTGAGATGGCTCAGTGGTCTAAAGCACCTACTTAGAACAAGCTTAGCAAAGCACAGGGACCGCGGTTCAAACCCCCAGCACCACATGCCAGCCAGCCCCGCCCCCTGGTGGGCTGAGCTGGCCACACACACACACACACACACACACACACAATAAATAAATAAATATTTAAATTTTACTAATATCTGTATGACTTAAAAGTGATAGTCTAAGTTTAGCAATGTTATTTGACCCTGCTAGTCCCCTTCTTGGTATCTTCCCAGAAGAATTAAAAGCATCATGCCACAGTGATATATGTTCACATATAGTTACAGCGGCACAGTTTGTAATAGCTAAATCTTGGAAGCAATCCAAGCACCCATCAACCAAGGAGTGTGCAAAAAAGATGTCTTTTTTATATAATAGAATATTAGTCAGCCATAAAAAAGGATAAAATTGAGGTATATATAGCTAAATGGATGCACCTTGAGACCATGATTATAAGTGAAATAGACAAGACACACATGTGTAAATATTATACTATCTCTGGTGTGAGAAACTGAAAATATCAATGAAAACATAAATGTACAGTAGATACGGTAAAATATGAGGGAACTGTTTAAAAGGAAAAGGGAAACAGGGAGGAGAATAAGGAAAGGAAGAAAAAAAAAAAGAAAGAGTGAAAACTGGGCTTTGGGAATAGGGAAAGAAAGGAGGTTTGAAAAGATGAGAATGAGAAAAAAGAGGAATTAAGATATATCAAGTTCAATCCCCGGTTCCAAAAAAAAAAGATATATCAGGGACAGATGCAAATTCCCTGTCACGCTTATGTTCAATACGGATACCTAACTTATATACCAATAAACTTAAATTTTTATTAAAAAGGTGACAGTCTTCTTAGAGGAAATTTCTCCAATAATAAGTCATTTATTGATGTGAAAACTTACTTTGCTCTAATTAAAAGGGTAATGCAGCCACATAAAATATTCAACCATTCAGAAGACCATATTAAAAAAGTAAAAATCGGGGTGAGCGGTGTCCACCAAGGCCTGGGCGGTTGATCCTGCAGAGATGCTTCAAAGCTTAATTAAAAATGTCTGGGTCCCTATGAAGCCGTACTATACCCAAGTCTACCAGGAGATCTGGATAGGAATGGGGTTGATGAGCTTCATTGTTTATAAAATCAGAAGTGCAGATAAAAGAAGCAAAGCCTTAAAAGGTTCAAGTCCTGCACCTACTCACGGTCTCCATTAACCAGCTCTTGAGTACCCACGAGATGAAGCCTCAGTCTGCCTGTAAATTTAAGCAAGCTGTGTTAGATGGGAGCACAGAATGTCACTGTACACCTCCATCAGCAGCGTTCACTCTGCGACATGAATAAATGCACTTGTGTGGTACACCACCCACTCTGGACTGTCTTGTGTGTCCCCGCAGACCCTTTGTATGAGCAGATATCTCCAGCCACACCCACCCTCCCAGAAAGCCGTCCGGAAAGAGGAGCTCACATCATGGGTTCTCTGCAGAGGGGTAGCGGGGCTGGCCTAGGCACTCACTCGGACTCTGATATTCAATAAATGTCTGTCTGACAAAAAAA